GCTCTTTTAGGGGAAAAAGCTCTTTTAGGGGAAAAAGCTCTTTTAGCGTGCTGAGGCGCACAGGGGAGATGATCATCTGCAACACAAACAGGGGTAGTGCAGCCTGATGTGTGCAACCCACTCGACACGGGAAACCACCACCGCAAGCGCCGTCCGCCAACACGAAGAGCTCTCCAAGAGCACGCTGAACTCGTTCAGTCTTCTTCTCTCAGTAGAGTAGTCAGGAGCAGAACGATGTGATCGCTCGGCTCCGAAGCGAAAAGCTGAATATGCGCTGCATCTGCTGCCTACTTATACTCACGCTGTGATCAGCAGCAGCTGGTTGCAATAATCGCATGCCAGTGTGCATTGGCTCGTTTAGTTTACACTCGAAGTAGATTGGTCCCTCTAAGCGAGATCCCAATTCGTCGGTCCTCCGACTTGACGTCGAGAGTGACCGACTGAAAGGGAACTTGATTTCTAATGTAATACTTTAACATTACTGTCAATGTTTGTTGCTTTGTGTTTAGCATGCTTACTTTTAACATGCGCATTGCATTTTGCATGTTAAATGTGCTGAATAAAATCAAACAAACTAATTTAAGTCCTGTAAATATTGTTAAATATATCTGACCACATTGTTTGACGGCTGTTGTTTTAGCTACTTCCATGTTTTTTCTCATGTCATGAGTCACGCTTCGTTGTTTTCATTTACTTTAAAACGTAGCATGTTTCTGAATACATAAAGTGAGGATTTCTTCTCAATCTTCTACATTTCTACACCATAATCTATTGACTCCTGTTGTCTGTACAGTTATTAAGCTGCTTACAACCCTCACTTACTAAAGATTAATCCATGCTGACGTGCTTTGATGCGACGTGACCGCGTGAATACTGGAAACAGCTGTACCCCACAAGGCTAGCAATGACGTTTAAGGCCTTGCCTTTTTTTTTTATTTTTTTTTTAGATCTGACATGCTGAGCAGGTTACATAATGTTGGAACAGGTTGTCTGGTAATTCCTGCGCAACGTGATTTAAAGGGGTCATATGATGCTTTTTTAAAGATCATTATTTTGTGTATTTGGTGTAACAGAATATGTTGACATGCTTTAATGTTCAAAAAACACATTATTTTTCAAATACTGTACATTATTGTAGGTCCTCTATGCCCCGCCTCTCTCAAACGCTTCGTTTTCTACAAAGTCCCTCCTTCCGACAAGCGCAGTCTGCTCTGATTGGCCAGCTGACCCAGTGCATTGTGATTGGCCGAACACCGCAAGCACTCGTCGGAAATGTAACACCCCTTACCATAATCGCGAGCTTCATCTTTCAAAATAAATGTAAAGACAGTAAATAATGTCATTTAGTCTCTCTCTCTCTCTCTCTCTCTCTCTCTCTCTCGCGCACACACACACACACACACGATGCGCAAAACTCAACATTTGAACAGTCAATAGCAAATACCAGATTGTCATAGCAAAGTCAGAATGACCTCCTCTCTTACAGATTAAAAGCACAGACGTTAAAGTGCAAACGAGTTTAGGAGGCAAATCGGCCTGAAGTGTGTGTTTGAGAAGAGACTGTGATGGTCCAGTGTGACTTCAGAGCCGGAGTTGGCAGACTGACCCGTTCATTATTAATACGCCGTCTGTATGTGGCCCGTGTGTTAGATCTCAGTCCATGTGCAGACTCTCCTCATAAAGACCCAGTCATTCTTCTGCCAGACAGCAGACAGGAAGAACGCAGGGCCATTAGCTAATTGTCCTGAATGTGGCAAACAGAGAAAGAGAGAGCTAGTGAGAGACCCAAAAAAGCATACAAAAGCCGGCTGCTCCAGGACCACATGGTCCTTTTGTGAGTGACACAGGAAAGGAATTATTGCAATCAGAGTGAACGAATGATTGACTCTGTAATGTGGTGTTATTTGATGTGCAGTTTGCAGATCCAAGGGAAGCTAATTGTGAGGATGTGATGGGAAGACGGTTTGATTAAACTGCACTGACACAGAGGTTACTCATAGTTGTAAAGGAGATTTAAAGTGAATGTTACTTTTTCTTAAGGGGTCTCTAAGAATTTCATAAAAGGCTTGTTTTTATTGCATGGTAACCACTTCCGGATAATATTTTTATGATTTGCTTTAAGTTGTGATTCAGGATTTAGAATAAAATAGATGATTTAAATTCAATGTATTATGTAATTAGACAATTTTTGTATAATATATATCTAAATACATTTAGGTATTGAAATATATTTATTTATTGCTTACAATATTTTCAATATTTTGTAATGTATCTTAGGAGTATTTTTGTAATGTATCTCAATTTTAATATTATATTATATTAAAATGCTGTTCTTTATTATCCTGAAAAAGTATGATTTCCACAAAAATATTAAGCAGCACAACTGTTTTCAGAGTTAATAATAATATGAAACATTTCCTGAGCAGCAAATCAGCATATTAGAATGATTTCTGAAGGATCATGTGACACTGAAGACTGGAGTAATGCTGAAAATTTAGCTTTGCATCACAGAAATACATTCCATTTTGAAATATATTAAAATAACACACTGGGTATTTTTATTATAATTTTTTTTTTTTACAATATTACTGTTTAACTACATTTAATTATATTTTATATGTATTAATGTTTATTTTTTATGTTTATTTTTATTAATTAACATGTGTTGTGTTTAAATAAATAAATTCATTAATTCTAAAAAAAGATTTAATGTATCATTCGAGTCCCGGCTCGTGGACTTTTCCCGATCCCATCCCCCTCTCTTTTTCTCTCCACTCTCTACACTGTCCTATCAAAAATTTAAATAAATTAATACAAACACTAAAGAGAAAAAAAGATGGGATCTGAACTCACAGCACAGCTCAGTCTGAACTCACATTCTGATTTTAATCAGGTTCTAGTCTATAATCTGATACAAGTTCTTGATTTCTGTGTTTTATCTTCAGGACCATGGAGATGCTACATCAGTTTCCCTCCTCAACCTGGAGCCTCACGACGACATACTGGAGGTGAGACAAACCTGACAAAATCTGCATGCGTAGAGTGTTTGTGCCACCTACTGTGAAGACGACTGGGTTACTTTAAAACCCCTTGATTCTCACTGAGCAACCATTAACATTAATAATTCAGTGCCATCCGATAACTCTGCTTAGTGTTTGGCAAATACTTCAGAAGAACATCTACAGAGTTCAAAATGAGCAGTCTGGTGGAATATCAACGTGGACTGCAGTGAAATGCTAAAACCCATCCGTCCACGTGTCTCTTGATGTCTGTCCCCGAGCAGGCAAGCCCAGCGACGCAGAGGCGAGCACGTGCCTCCCTCTCGGATCTGTCCCGCGAGGATGAGATCAAGAGCCTGACAGTGCGGCAGCTGAAGGAGATTCTCGCCCGCAATTTCGTCAACTATTCAGGCTGCTGTGAGAAATGGGAGCTGGTGGAGCGCGTCCATCGTCTCTACAGAGAGAACCAACTCAACCGAAGATCGAGTAAGAGCCGACGTCACACATAAAGTGTAGAGCTCTCCCCGAAGTAGTCCACTTGTGCTCTAGTTGTTTCTAAAACATCTACATATACATCATTCATAGGCAAAAAAGGATTGTTAGGAGTCGGACACTCTTAAAAATAAAGCTTCCAAAAGGGGGATTTTTGGGTTCTAAGAAGAACATTTCAGGGAACAGTTCTTAAAAGAATAATTTTTCTTAGCGTGAAGAACATTTTAATACTGCACAAAAAGAACCTTTTGTGCAGTGGAAATGTTCCGTGGATTTTAAAGGTTCGTCATGGAACCATAGATGCCAAAAAAGAACTTTTATTTTTAAGTGTAGGAGGTGTAAGAACATGATTCAGTTATTTTATTAAAGAGTTAGTTCACCCAAAAATGAAAATTAGCTTGTGTTTTACTCACCCTCGAAGCATCCTAGGTGTATATGACTTTCTTCTTTCAGAAGAATCCAGTCAGAATTATATTAGAAATTGTCCTGGCTATTCCAAGCTCTATCATTGCAGTCAGCGGGAGTTGCAGTTGAACAGTCCACAAGTCGTCAAATAAAGCGCGCATTCATAATAAAACGTGCCTCACACGGCTCCGGGGGATGAGTAAAGGCCTTCTGTAGTGAATCCATGTGTTTTTGTAAGAAAAATATCCATATTTCAGATGTAATAAACACTTTTTTCTCACTTCCGTTATATGTCATATGAGGAAGCCGTTCCAGCGGATGACGTAGGACGTCGGCGTTGCGTGATTAGTGACGAATGTGGAGAGAGAACAAAACGAAACGGTGGTCACGAATTAGAAGTACAAACTGAAGATTTGCAAAGAAAAATGTCGGAGGATTTCGATATAAACCAAGAGGAGACTGGTTTTCCTTTGCTAAAGTAAGGAAACTTTGCTTCCTTTGCTCCTATTAAACAAACTCGTGAGACTTGCATATCTCAGAGGTGCGCGCGCTGCGCATACATCCTGCGTCATCCGCCGCAACGGCTTCCGCATATGACAGATACCGGAAGTGAGAGAAAAGTGTTTATTATGTTTGAAATATGGATATTCTTCTTACAAAAACGCATGCATTCACTACAGGAGGCCTTTAATCACCCCCCGGAGCCGTGTGAGGCACGTTTTATTATGGATGTGCGCACTTTATTTGACGACTTGTGGACTGTTCATCTGCAACACCCGCTGACTGCAATGATAGAGCTTGGAATAGCCAGGACAATTTTTAATATAACTCCGACTGGATTCATCTGAAAGAAGAAAGTCATATACACCTAGGATGCTTCGAGGGTGAGTAAAACACAGTCTAATTTTCATTTTTGGGTCAACTAACCCTTTAAGTAATTTCATCCTTCTGCTAGAAGAGGCTCTTTATGTTGAATTAGTAGAATAGAGTATGAAAGATTCCTCGGGTGCTTTATATGACCATTTTATCTTCTGCTGGCTATATAATTGGCAGAATAATGAGAAGGAAACTCAGCGGTCCGCTTTTGTAGATGTTCAGGCTGAAAAGAGCACAGCTGACAACATCATATAATAAGAGTGATGGATGAGGAGGAATGCAGCCATTTTATCACAGTCTCCGAATCTTTTTGACAGACTGCATGTGAGAAATAACAACATGAAATTGAATCAGTCAAGGATCAGCCCAAAATCAGCTGTGGCTAATGTGGTTTTCAAACAGGCTTCTGCTCTCCATAAAATTGATTCTTCTCGTTTTCTTTTCCTTGCAGTGGAAAATGTTAGCAACAGCCTAGCTGCAGGTAAGCAAACCAATGTTTTGATATATTGTACTTGAAAGTATTTATAGTAGTATTTTTACATATTAATTTATATCGTAGTATTATTTTGTTTTTTAGTATTTTTTCTTATGTGCTTTTGTCATTTTTATTGTTTTTGTTTATTTTAATTAATGTTTTGAATGCATTTATTTACCTTTAATTTGTTTTTATTTTAGTTTGAGTCATTTTAGTACTTCAACGTAACGAATTTATTTCTGTTCGTTTCAGAGGCAGCATTTCTAATTTTCGCACACGTTTTTTTATTACTGAATCTTATTTGATTAGTTTTAGTTGTAGTTAACAATAACAACACTGGTATTTGAGACATTAAAAAAAATACATATTATTATATTGAATATTTTTAAATAAATGTACAGTGTAAAATATCAAAACCTTACTACCAGGACTAATTACTAGCCTGGTGAAGCATGAATCGTGTATAACATGGAAGTATGTTCTTCTTTCTGGGTAGCAATTTGTGAAAATACCAGTTTTTTATATGCATGTGAGCTTACATTAGCTGCCCAATGCTAATAATGTTAACTCTCCCACTGCTGTGTTTGTCAATCAAAGTCATAGCTTACCCTCCTCCTATATGCAATGGAGGTATTGGAGGTAAGACTCAGCCTTTTTTAATGTGGCTCCAACATCATCATTACCATGAATGAAAAGTGACTCTTCCCAATGCATGCTGGGAGAGTTTGATATGTGGTTTCCACGTGCATGATCACATTTGTGTCATGAATTATGCTCCTAATGTGATCTGGCTTTTTATAGCTTGTCACATTACTGTAATTGCACCTTGCCTTCATCAATTATATTAACACTGCTTGGAAAATGGCCCAAACTGATCCGAAGATTATAGCTGTCCAAGTCTCAGAAAATATATTAAGTGGCTTTTTGGAGAGGGACCAAGTTTCAGATGCTTTAGGGATGTGCATCGTTTTGTTTTTTTATAGGGCAATTAATAGAGATAATAAGACTGACATCAGCAAATACTGGTTTAGTCTGCCATAGAGGAGAGTTGAAAGCACGTACTGTATATCATTCATTAAAAGGTTTGACCGCTGATATTGACCGGCTAAAAGGATGTCAAATAAGAAAGACAGTGTGTTAAAAAAGTGTTCCAGGTTCAGTAATACAGAAAATAATGTTTACTCTTTGCTGAGGTTATTGTTAAAGCAAAAATATCAGTTTTATAAGGACTTTTAATTTAAAATAACTGGATACATTTTATTAAGGTTTTAAATGATTGTCCTTTAACAAAAAATCAAATTTCTGCTTGTAGATATTTAATGTGCATTTCCCTTTTTATTTCTATTAGAACTGCTTTTATTAAATTGAGGGATGAGTCAAGAACATTTTCTGTCTCATTCTGTTTAATTGAAAATATGTTTTGAATTGTTTTCTTTATTTTTAAAGAAAAATCAATTATTGTCTTTATTTTTTAAAGAAGAATGAAAGTTCTTTAACAAAAATTCAAATTTCATTCTGCTTTCAAATATTTAAGGCACACATCCCTATTTATTTCCATTATAACTGCTTTTATTATGGGATGTAATCAAATCTGTGCATAATTAAAAAACGCTTTTGATAGAGTTTAAAGTTGTATTGAATTTTAATTAAAATCAAAATTTGAACTGAATTTAAATTTATTTTAAAATGATTTGTTTTTCAAAACTGAAACTTGAACTAAATTTAAATGTCATTTAAAACGATGTTCTTCAAAAAGCATTTTATATTCTTTATTTTAAAAAAGAATTAATGTCCTTTAACATAAATTCACATTTTAGTGATTTTCAAATATTTAACATGCATGTCCTCATTTATTTGCACTTTTAAAATTGCGCTTTTATTAAATTACGTGACGAGCCGAAAACATTTACTTTCGTAATCAAAAAATTATTGAGTTCTATGTTGTATTGAACCTGGAACATTCGTTTAAAGCACTTTCATTTAATGAAATTTATTTTATTTTATTTAATGAAAATTAAATGACACATTTTACTGCTCAAAATTTCTTGTGTATTTCTTGTAAAATGTCATTGCATATGCAGCTATGTACAACAATCTTTCCCAAAGCGGAAAGAAAACCTCATTACACACAAATAGAGCAGATTGATAGACTATTAAACAAGATCTCAAACCTTCCATATATTGTCTTGCAGATGGTGTGCAAGTAGCTCAGCTGGGTGGCGTTGATGAGAACCTGTGCCGTATCTGCATGGATGCCGTGATAGACTGCGTTCTGCTGGAGTGCGGTCACATGGTCACCTGCACCAAGTGCGGCAAGAGGATGAGCGAGTGCCCCATCTGCAGGCAGTACGTGGTGCGGGCGGTGCACGTCTTCAAGTCTTAACGGGTGAGCTTCACCTCTACTGGATAACCAACACACCAGATGCTTCCTGCTGGATCGAGCAGGCTGGGGCCATGACCGGACCAATGAACTGCCCCTTTAGATTCAAAGTGGTGGAGACCTGTACTGCGCACACCTTCTTTACAGAGCGAGCATTTCCTGCTGCCCATTTTTATTTGGTCATTCATTGACACGTTTGAAATCATTTCAGCGGTTACTGACCCAGGGAAGATTTAGAGGAATAACGTATAAAAATATGGAAGTTTAAGTGGTTTACAGTACATTCCTGTAAACTTTTTGGAAATGCTTTATTGTATGTGCAATATTAGAAATCTTTACATGTGCGTGTAGAGAAACCGATTGCCATTAAGATGCATGTTGTCGTAGCAGCAGTTAAGACCATTGGCGTGAAGGGGGAACGTACTGTAGGTGCCAAAGTAGAAATGTGCAGAATGGCTTCTGGATTATATTATTAATAAGCGTGTTATTTTCATGTATTAAATCAGCTATTGCCATACCACAAATCACCATCCATAACACCGGATCAAATGACCAGCTAGCAGAAGGGTTATTTATAGCAAGATTATAGAAACTGTATCGTATTTTTTCACAGAGTCACTGGAATCCAGCATCTGCCGCTATGTAGCTTATTACTGGAACCTCAATAACTTTTTTTAATCAAATTTTGCAGTATCTGTCGAACGTCAGGGCAACTACTCTAGCTGAGCAGACAAGATTACACTATAAATGACTTAAACTGAGCGCTGGAAGACGTTTTGGGATCTGGTCTTTGTATTTTGGAATGTTGAACTTTTTATTTTGGTAATTCAAAGATGATTTATTAAATTTAATAAAATATGGTACCTTGAACTAACAAAATAAAGAGTTTTCTGATTTCAGTGTTTATTTTTTTCCTCAGTTGCAAACGATGAAATGCTAATCGGCGCCCTCTAATGCCTGCGAAGTGCAACGCAGTCATAGGAATACGTTACTCTCAGTCAGACGCAAGCGGATGAAAATAACTTTATATTCATGGCACAATACACGGATATGGTTGCTGGTTATTCTGGAGAACGGATTTGCTCAGGTATGCCTGTCTGTATGTGATAATGTGCTATATTTACTCAATTATAAGTCTTAACACGAGAGTGAGGGAAAAGGCGGCAAAAAATGGTAGGAGGGAAATCATAATTGCTTGAACCGGATCTTAATTTATGAAATGATTCAATGCTGTGTATCGTTTTCTGCTCAAAATATACCAAATTGTTCACACAGTCAAAATTCTGTTAAGCAAAACATCAATACTGGAAAAAAATATAAGTATTTATTCAGGTCAAACAGTGCAAATATGTTTTCCCCCAGATATATACATATTAAAGAAGCCCAGGTAAAGTAATAGTCGTATGGAAAAGAGAACGTACCTGTAGAACATCTTATAACATTAGAAGACATTACATCTTAAATTAACATTACAAAAACATCTGCACATTTACTATAGCTAGTATAGATGGGATCTGCTTAACTTCCTACTGCGTAGAAAAAAATAAACTTTGTACTGACTGAATACCGTCAATAAAGTCTATATATATTTATGAGTACAGTTAATACCGCACATAAAGTGTGAAATCCCTTCTGATACAAAAATTAACACTGCATGAAGCTTAACGTTTGCATGGTAACGAAAAAAGCACATGCATTTTGAATTTTTCTTTTCCAAAAAAGAAAATAACAGTCGGTTTTGTCACTGCAACACTGCACTGTGTGACTATAAAACCTTTTCTTTTTTTAATAACATTTATGCAAAATATGAGTAAACATGCCTTTCAACAGCATTTTAACATTGGCATGCTCTGCTAGCTGTGCCTTGTAAACATAAAAAACAATAAAAGTTTGCCTTAGCAGCACAACATAAGCAAATTGAAAACAATAAAACCGATTGAAAGGCTGAATTGGCCACCAGAGATCAATACATTTCTTCACTTGTGAGCTCTGATGTCGATGAGTTCAGGCATTTGCTTGGCGTGTGTCGTTTAGCAATATGCCATTTTTCTCTTTGCTGGTTTTCTGTTAAGCATGTTAGGCCTCACATCCTGTGTTGAAAAAAAGTGTAGAAAATGGGTGAAATTGTTAGTTCCCTGGGTTCTAGGTCAAGTTATTGTCAGTGTCTTTGTTGACTAGCTCAGTTTGCTCAGTAGTTTTTCTTCAATCAGTCTGAACTGCACGCTGACAGACATCTCTGCGATGAACTGCTCACAACCCTCTTTGGTCACCTGTTTGCAGTACCGCAGGTCGATGTGACAAATGTTTCCGCAGCGCTTGAAGTAGGTCAACGACAAGTCTGTAACTTTGTTACAAACTGTGGAGGAAAGGAAAAGGGATTTAGAGCCACAACCACTCAGATTTACATTAATGCTTGACCTCAGCAGCAAGTGAAGAGTAGAGGCCTTGCTGTTTTATGCATTGCATCTTGGGAAAAGCATGAAGCAAGATAGCAATCTTATCAGATTAAGATGAGTTTGTGTATATTAGGGTTGTGCCGATAGATGATAGTCCGAGATATCGACGATAGCACATGTCTTTGTCGATAGTCAAGACGATATTAGGCTCATTCCTATAAATGTATTAAATTATTATTATTAGGCGGCCTATTATAATTCGGCTATTATTATCATATTGCCCTGCTATTTCACTTCAGCACCGCATTTCGCACTTGTGCAAATGACGATTAGAGTCTGTAGCCAGTGAAGGAGTCTCCAACCACAAACACAAACGTACATCGTCTGCTGATATAAGGTATTTCATTGCATTTTAACAAGTAATCTGAACGGTCTATATATGTGCAATATTTTAACCGAGCCCTCACTAACTGAGTTTAATGCCACAGTTATGTTAGCACGCATCTCATCCTTGTTTCTGTGGCAGTGCGTCGGGCTCGTCATGGGGCGCGCGGTCCGGAGCGCTGTATGACTGATGTATCTAATTTAACTTTACTCCAAATATATGAACTTACCTGTTTAAAATATGTTTATATTTAACGTGTTTGTTTATGTCCAATATTTAGTGTTAAACTGTTGTTCTTTAAAATAAATCTACATTTGATTTTCACCGTTGACTGCAGACCTTTTAGACTGATAACGAAGTTATGAAATAGCCTATGATAAGTACAGAGTCTCTCTCTTGCCCCCACCCATGCACGATAATACCATCTATCGCTGGCGATATGGCGTTATGTGAGGGTTTTAGTATTTCCTGCAATACCTGAAAGGTTGATGTGAGTAAGAGAGTCTCTGGTCGTGGTGCCGGCTGCCGTGAGGATATTCACACTCTGGTCGGTGATGTGGTTACAGTAACTAAGGTCCAATTGGGACAGTGAAGGCATATGTTTTATGATCAGCTTCAGGGACACATCTGTGATGTCCAGACCAGCTAGACAGAGATTCTCCACGTTCCTCAGTTTACTTCTGCTGTCCAACTGACCTGAGAGACAGCAATATGCATCTTTTACCATGTCAGTTTTTAAACTATGTAACAGAAATGTACCTGTACTATCTGCTGTGTACACATGGGGGTGCTATGAATTGGCAAAATAAGAGATAAAGAACTTCTAAATGGGTCAAGAGTACATATTGGGCATGAACAGCAATTAATGCTATCATTCAGTACCTGGCCTGTTGTCTGTCGGTGGGGAGAGCAAGTCTCTTATCTGGTTGTCCTTGAGTCCCTCTACCCACTGCACATCTAAAGTTCTTAGCAAAGGACAACTAGATGTGCATAAAGCTGATACAGCTGCCCACGAACAGCCTGCCAGCAACAGAATCCTCAGACCTGTCAGGAAACCAACACAAAGGAGTCATGCAAGTATCAGACATGAGAGTGGAGTTTGCATACATCAGGGATACCCAATCCTGTTGTTGGAGATCTACTTTTATGCAGAGTTCAGCTTCAACCCTGCTCCAAAAAACCTGTTTGCAATTATCAAAAGTTCCTGAAGATATTAATTAACTGGTTTATGTGTATTTGATTAGGATTGTAACTAAACCTCAAAGTAAGGTAGATCTCTGGTAACATGGCTGGGGTGTAGAGTACATAAAGGCTACACCATCAGGAGAAGCACTGAAACAAAGCTGTTTCCACCATTAATCAATTTAGGCGGTAAGTAAGTGTGTGATTGTACCAGGTAATCTGTTGATTAGCCAGCTGAGCTGCTTCTTAGAGATGTTGGTCCAACTCAGGTCCAGGGAGACTGGCTGTCTGCGGATAATGCCGCTCAGCATTAGTGGAGTGATTGACTTGCACCGGTTCAGATCGATCGTGGTCCACAGTCTTTTATCACAACACCTAAGAACAGAGGACAGAAAACTTAACTTTGCTGTGCATCTTACGAAGTTGAGTTTGGCACTTGCTTGGAATATACCTAACATGGAGGACCCAACCCTTAAGGATCTAAGCTACTTTAAGTCACAATTGAAAGTAAAAAGGATCACTTCATTCCATTGACTCAAATACAATCCAGTGTTATCATTGGTCAGGACAAGGGTTAAAGATGTGGTTAAGTCTGAGAGCAAGGTAGAAAACCAATGAAAGCACCAATGGAGGGAAAGGATGCTCATGTAGTACTGCGGGAAGAGCTAGACCTCTAAACATCTGCTGCAGTATAAAGTAAATTCTCAAGTGCAAATGCAGCATAAAAGCACAACATATTATGATGCTTTCTTTCCTAATTTCTGGAAGACGTACCATCTGTTCCAGGTCTTGCAGACCCGCATGCAGACACAGAGGTCTTGGTGTGTGAGGTGGCTGAACACTGCCATCCACACCTCTCTCTGCATGACGTGATTCTTCCCATCATCTAGGGGCAGGCCATCCGGAGGGGGGCTGATCGGAGGGGGGCGAATAACGTGACGCTCCATCTGAACACATTTCGGTGGAGAGCGGCAAGGTGTTGGCCGAATGACAGGGGTAGGTGTAGTCCTGATCCAGTTAACCGGGACCTGCTCTCGCAAGGATCCGTTTAGTTCCCGCTTAGGTCCCAGCCAGTCTCTCAGATGACTGCTGCCATTCCTCAGTGGTTTTCTGACTTCTCCATCACTATCTGGTTCGGTCTTCACCGCCCTGCCATTTTGATGAGCCAGACAATCCTCTGTCTTCTGGATCTCCTGATTAAGTTGTTTGCTTAGTTCTTTGCTCAGTTCTTTGTTGGGTAGACGAGGTTTGCGTTTGGTTTTTCGCTGGCTCCTCAACTGTGTATCAACACCCGAGTCGCTGCTGGGCCCTGCTTGGTTAAAACCGCCCTGTGATTGGTCGCCTTCCCATACAGTGGAGGTCTTGTGCACAAGCTTCCCATTCTCCTCTCGGCTACTCTTCTCCTTCATTGTCTCCTCTTCTTCTTCCTCCTCCTCTTCATCATCTCCATCCTCTTCTTCTGAGGGCACAAAACTGAAATCTCTCCTCTCCAATTCCTGTCTGTTATCCTCATAATCCTCTCTTTCTGTCTTTATCTGTCCCAGGACATTAGAGGTTGAGAGATCTTCAGGCTTTGAGCGCTTCTTCTGTGGATTTAAAAGAGGGTCAAAATACATGCTTTGCAAAAATATTATTTCATCTCTTATTTGCTTTTACTTATTCATTGTCTTGCTACCTTTTTCTTGACATTGGAATCTGAGTCTGAGTCCTTTTCAAAGAGTTTTCTCTTCTTGCGGAGTG